AAATACTCGGTAGAGTGATGGTCTGTGATTGCTGTGGAGTGGCTTAAATCAGATTGGCAGGATCTGAAATTAGTTAAGATTAGTAGTAACAGTTTTTAGGTCTATGGGACAGTTACTTTTTCCACGCAGGGTCAGGTAGGTTTGGGTAACTGTTTTTTTCCCTCATTAATAAATGAAATAATCATTTTACACTGAAATTCATATTTCCCTACTTTGTGGAGTTTATATTTAGACAATTAAAGCCCATGGTTTAAATTAAGAGGAAGATGTGTGCAGAATAATTGCAAAATAAAAGCGTTAGAAAAACATGAAGGCTGCTCCGTGTCTTCAGTATGAAACAGGCTGAGATTCCAGCGTTTCTTCATTTATTCAGATTGTTTTCAGCCCTTATATCATCATGTAGGTCACTTCAGGATGCGCTTTCATAAGAATGCAACACCCCCAGCAGCCAGCGATGCAATATTCTAAATCTGCAACCTAAACTCATTCCCAGAGTTACAAGCTTCTCCCTCTGGCCTTTTTTATTTAATCTGCCTCACTCAACAATAAAGGCATGTTTCATCTCAGCTTGTCAGGTACTAAAGCAACCAGAGGAGAAGGGGAACAAAATAAAGCTGATGTGACAGTGTCACACAAGGTTACTACAAAGAATTATGTGTTTCCTTCTTAACCTACCACTCACCCTAACACACACACACATGCATGCCACTGATTAAATGTCACAAACATGGATTGGTGGGAGTGTCTGTGGATCACAAGGCTAATTGAACTGTCTCAGCTGTGGAAAGAACGATTATTAGTTATAGAAAAATGCAAGTAAGAGCGGACAAGAAGAGCAGATGTCTGTTCATGTCATATTCAAGCAAACATATAAAAGAGGAGATTGCTAATGTGATTCGATAAAAGTTTACTTTTATGTCTGTGTTGATCTGTCACTATGTTTCTGACTAAAATATCTCAGGAACTGGAAGTTCATGTTCCCTAAAGCATGATTTATAATGATTCTGGTGTTCCCTTAATGCTTTATGTGAACAAATATTGACAGCACTGGTGCAAAAATAGCAGTTTTGTATAAGAGTGGTTAGCACAGGCTTCACATTGTCGTGCTGAGGAACATGTGTGCGATGAGCGCTTTGAGACCCTCGCTCTGAGGAGCAGACTGGGTGTCCCACAGAGCAACAGATGTTTAACTACTCTCCCCAGCCACTCCTTTGCGGCCCAGCACTGCCCCTGTCTTTGTGTGCTAACCAGCTCTACGTGTGTCTGCCTCCTCCTATCATTCACAGACCTCTGTTTAGGAGTAATTAGCTATGTGCCTCCTCTCTCCCTCCACTTCTACCCTGAAGCCTCATTGTCATTGTACTGTCATCTCACCCTTAACTGTGCTAAGTAATAATCATCCAATCTCAGCTCTCTGCCTCGCCTCCTTTTTCTCTCCTCCTCCTCCATCCCTCCCTCTTGTCCTCCTCATTATTTCCCGGTCTGAGTTTTGAAGGCTGTCATTAATCAACTCATTTTGAACAATGTTGAACCTTGCAACCCCGAACACCCACCGCTGCTCAACTAGGAAGTGTTCCATTCCCCTGCGGTCCATTAGGCCAATCGGAGCAAAACGAGGGTACGACAAAAGATACAATAGAATCCAAAAGCAGATTTTAGACTAGATTCCACAATAGGACACAGACAGCTGGGGAACAACAGGCTTTATTATATTCTATCTGTTGGGAATTTGGGAGAATTTTCTTCTCAACCCAAAGTCTCCTGGGATACACGGTCATGTTTTACTTTACTAAAATACGTGGCGTGTTAATCCCTGTCTGACGCCCGTATCTTTCCTTGGTTGCGTGGTGTTGATGATGTGAACATGCTGCTGAAGTCTCAGGCGCTACCTTGCAGCAATCATTAGTGTCAACTATTGGAAAATACCCACAGAAGCCTGCACTGAGTCTGTCCTTTGCAAAGTCATGAGAGTCATGAGATGATGTGCATAATTTCCACCCACATTGTAGCCAAATGTGGGTGGAAATTTTTTTATTTTTTAAATTGCACAAATTCTATTAGATGTTCACTGCTGCACTAGACCCCGTTTAAAAAAGAGGTTCTTGGCATAAAATAAGTGAAATAAAATCGGCTCTGCCTCTGCACTTCAAGAATGGGGTAACCTTTTTGCCATTTAACTATAGAGGTCTGACAGAATCGCCCACCTTCTTTACATTTGTGTATGAAAAGAGGCGACATAAACGCTTCTTTTACAGCTGAGGGTCGAGGGGAGCGATGGGCTGGCTTGTTTTTCTATTCTGTGGCTTGCTCTTATCCATTATAACTCTGTGATCTGCATTGTTGCTCTTGTCAGACCAGTGTGTGTGTGTGTGTGTGTGTGTGTGCATGATAGAAAGACAACGAGAAAGGGAGGTTAAATAAAATGCATTAAATTGTAAATCTTTTAATTTAAATCAAGGATTTTAACATGAATAGAAGAGCAGCCATCCTTCTGAAAGAATAAACATCTGCTCTGCTTCTTTCCTTCAGTTTCTTTTGTGTTAAATTGGTCCAAGAAGGACAACTTTTTTGTCAGGAGAGAACACATTCCTCCTTAAATGTAATGAAGACAACCCAAAAGCCTACATCACAGCCTTTCACCTTAAAAACTCTTCTCCCCCCTGAACCGACGTCCTGTGTTAACTCTTAAATTTCAGTCATGTCTTCTAACAACACGTATCTCAAAACTGAACAACGACAAAAAGTTTACAGCCCACTTAAAACCCTCACTCCTGATTTCCGCTGTTATAGCTGAAGATGAGTGAATGTGGTTGGTGAATAATGATACGATATCTTATACACCCGAACAGGCCATCTCTGCTGTGCAATGAACAGAAACCATCTATGCATAGATGTTATATGAAAACAAAGACTTTTTTAGGGATGATTAAAATGGCAGTCTAATGACCATAAATCACAATTCTAATATATTACCAAACACGCCGTTTCTATTTGGTGTTAAATTTTAAATATCAATGTCATCAGCCTACAGAACCTTATCTCAAAGGTTATGATATTTATGCTTGGCCATCAAGAAATGTTAGACAGACTGTATTTAATGGTGAGCTATATCCTCTCTCTGCCTTATCTAATGCACGGAGAAGAGATCACAGGGTGGTAATTATTTTACAGTCGGTTTTTACAGCCTTGGATCTGTCCTACATCACAGTGATCCACCTGACCATCAAAGACACTGAGAACGAGTCGCCCATGCTATAACATAAAGCATTTACTTTAAAACAAATACACAAGAATTTGCTATCAAATTGCTTGCTCTTGTTAAAACAGGATACATAATAAATGTTATAGAATATATGATAAACATGTACGCTGGACTCTTCCTGTTCATGCACACAGTTTTGTGCAGCACACTGATGGGTGCATTAGCCATGGTAGGATAAGACACCTTGCTGTGCCCATGCTTTAATATTTGATCAGTGATGTAAGTTATAGTAATTACAGAACATCAACTCCTGCTATACGCACAGCTCTTCCAGTCAAAGGAGGCGGCTGATAATTCACTCAAATATATATATGTATATGTAACGTTCCAGCACACACATGCAACTTTTACCTTAAACACGTAGGCTGTTTCTCTTAAATGCTGTGTGCTCCAGTTCAGCAGGTGTTGGTGTATTTGTCTTTGACATGAGAACAGTTTGTTTTCCCAGGTCAATGACTGTCTCTTATCAATCCTGTAAAGTCCAGCAGGAAATCACACCTGGTGACTGTGGAAAATAGTCTATATAGATGAAGGCTGAACCCTTTAAGTGACGCTTAATTGCTCAGTTTCAGCCTCTAATTAAGATATTGTCTGTCTGTTTGTTTGGGACACGTAGGAATCAGTTTAGATTGAAGGGAAGATCTCCTGGAAGACTATAACTACTTACACGCCGTCCTCTTTTGTGCACATTAATATATAAAATATGCTACTGCATGCAATAGACGAAGAAGAACAGATACAGCTGCTTGTCTGCACATCTCTGTCTTCCCTTTCCAAATCTTGGTTGCATGCAGCGTGTGTATAATTGAAGAATAAATGCCAACTACTACGTGTTTTTTGTCACCTGTGTCTACTTTGCCGGTGTGGTTCTAATCTACAGGGGGGGAAACAAAGAAAAGTTTGCCTTCTCTCAGTTTACTGCCCTTTTATGTGCTCTGTAGTGTGGTGATGACGATAATCATGGAAGCGGCTGCTGATAAGAACAGTTGGGTTTCTGTCAACCTTAGCAGGCTATAAAGTTTAATCAAGAGTTAGCTGTAAAATGATTAATTTTTGTCATAACTCTAAGTAAGATTACAGCAATTAAGGCAGTATAGCCGTCAAGAGTGTTTGCACCTCACACATGTTGGATGTGTAATATAATGAGTGTGTAAGAGGTTGTGTGAGAAAACTACACCTCGACTTCACCTGAAACAGGGTTAAAGATAGAGGACGCAGACATTTAAGGAAGAAGAAGTTCACATTATTAATCTTTCTTTCCTTTTTACAAAGTTCTCCTACACAGGTTAATCTTTTCTGCTTTCTTTGAGATTTATTGAAGCATAAATGGTTCTAACAGGAAGCCATGTCTGTGACCTAGTTGTATGCATAAGGAGGACGAGATCAATTAACACCAGAAGAGTTTGTGAGTATCCTGCCCCTGTGCTTCTGCAGAGCTCTGGCCAATCACAACAAAGCAGACTGTGTCGTGCGCATGGGTTCGAGTAATTTTTGCGCTCACTGTCGGAGCGGTGAAGTGTTTTTTACACACACAGTTCGTGCAGTGGGTCAGAAAAAAGGCATTTCTTCCGTGAGGGGGAATGACAAGCTTAACCCGTGTATCAGGACCTTAGAGAAAATCGAAAGTTCATCAGAAGAGTTTATTTCATTATTGAAGTTTAGGTTCGGGTTTTAAAAACAACAAAAACGCTTCACACGAAATAACATCAACTGTTCAGAGGACACATCTCGAGTCAGAATGACAGCCAACATGGAGAAATCCAAAAACTTTCGAATTGATGCGCTGCTGGCGCACGACGTGGACCAGAGGACGGACACGGACAGTGCGTCCCCCGGGCTGTATCACAGCAGGAGCCCCGGAGACAGCCCTCTGTCGACCGGCGGCTCAGAGACGCCCTCCTCCCCTCATCCAAACTCCTCAAACTCGTCTCCGGCGCAGTCTGAAGTCCTCTCCAAGTCTCATCTCTTTAACCTGTCCCAGTCGGGATTCCCTGGCCTGCATCAGGTGGGTCTCATCGGAATGCACCCAAGCTCTGTGTATCCCGTGGCGGCCCTCGGAGGCCAGCACACCGCCTTCATGTACCCCGGCTTCACGCAGCTGGTCCATCCGTATCCGGAGCAGCTGAAGGGGGTCACCGGGACGCTCCCACTGGAGCCTTGGATCAGAGCCGGGATGATGATGCCCAGACTCAGAGAGTATAACGGTGAGTTTGCGTGTTTGTTTCCACAGATGTGCATTTTTCTCGCCTATATCATTGTTATTTTCGTACATGGTTAGAATTTTTCAACATCTTAATTTTTGAATCAAAGTTTTTGAATATTTAATAAAACTTGTTATAACATTCTTCTGCTTGGTATTAACATTTAAAAAATAATTTAATAGTTGCAGTGTTTCTTTGTTGATCACGTATTTGGCCAGTGTGTTAATTTATGTAGAACAACAAAGCACTTCATGTCGGAGTAAATTGATTCTACATTTTTTCTTTAGTTATTGATTGTTTGGTGCACAGCTGCATGTGTTTTTCTCTGAGGTCGTTTATTGTAAAGATCACTATTACCTGTGTGTTGGTATTGAACGTGCTTTGACATTGAGAAGCTGTAGTTTGAGGACGATTTATGTCATACAAATAACATGCACTGTTTATGGTAAAGGTAACACCTGATACAGACCTACCACTCAGTCAACTGATCACACTTATAATGTTTTCATTAAGGTAATGGACCCCTGTGATAGTTTATTACTCCTCTGCAGCAATCCTGTTATCATGACCCTCCATCAAAGCAATAACTGTTAACCGACAGAAACACAGGTCGGCCGTGGCTTCCAGACAGCAATGAGAAACCAGGATTTGGGATTTTGTAATATTTCCTTTCCTCCTTAATCCCATTTATAGATTACCTTTGTGTAGGCCGCCATATGATTTGCTTCCTTACAGGCCTACCAGTCATAACAAGTGAAATATTTCCACTTGCAGAGACAAATTAATATCATTGATATGTCATAAATAATGTGACTGGGCCTGTTTCTGGTTTCTCCTCAGCACCATCTCAGACAGGTTTGTTGGGGAAGTGTCGGAGGCCCAGAACAGCTTTCACCAGTCAGCAGCTGCTGGAACTGGAAAACCAGTTCAAACTCAACAAGTACCTATCCAGGCCTAAACGGTTTGAAGTGGCCACCTCGCTCATGCTAACAGAGACTCAGGTTAGACTATGCTGACAAAGTTAGTGAATGACCATATAAGCCAACATTGGCTATTTTTTGTGTGTAACATTAACAGCATTTCATATACCAACTTCATTTATTCTCAGTTCAGCCAGCTACATTACTAAATAGTCCAAACTGTGATGATTCCTGCCATTTCCAGGTTAAGATCTGGTTCCAGAACAGGCGGATGAAGTGGAAGAGAAGTCGCAAAACTAGGGAACAAGTAACTCCAAGCAGCCTCGCGGACAGAGAAAGAAGCGGGATGGATTTGAAGAGTATCAAACGTCACGGTGGCTCTCGCACCTTGAGCCTAGAGGATGAGGAGGAGATAGCAGGGGAACACAAGGGTGAGAAAGAGCAGATAAAAGAGCTGAGAGAAAGTTCCTTTGGCTCTGTTGGGTTCACGAGGCATTCAGGAGGAGAAATGGGAAACTACAACTCTTACTCAGAGGAGGAGACTGAGGAGGGAGGCCCAGGAACAAAAACTGGGGCTTTCCCATCATAAACTCATCCATGTTTTTATTATATGTCTTCTTATGCTCATTATAATTAAAATAGTAATGCCATTGCAATCCTGTGCACGAAGACGGTGGAAAGAAAACAACGTTTTGTTAAAAGGTTTGCTTGGTTAGTTTGTTTTTTAACAGCCTGGATCATAGTGCTAAACCAACTCCAAACATCTCAGTCTGTTATTAATATTACATGAAATCAGAACTGTTCAATTGTTATGTACCTGAACATTTAATGCTTTAATAGCCAGCTATCCATCCATGAGTTATGACTTCAAAATCAACAAATAATTCAGACTTTTTGAATTTATCTTTATGACTTAAAGCCCACTTCCCTGTCCTGCCACTTGCAATAAACACATTTATCTTTGTACGCGCAGACAATGAGACAGACATAAAATAAAACTAATGGTGTCAGTGTGGATGGTAATATTATCCAGGTTTCCTGGTCCGTTACAATACGTGATTTACGTGAACTCAGCTGACGTTTCAGGGCATTATAAACACATAACAAGCACACTGTTGTGTTGCTACTGTATTTTTTTTTTTTAGGAATTTAGTTTGTTTTATGATATTGAATGCTTTCCCTTTGTCTTAGTTTCTTGGAAATGCTTGTATTTAGTTAAAGCCATGGACTCAATGAAATATCTGCATGCCTTGCTTTTCAAGTTTGCCTTCTCATTCCCCTTGTACTCTGTAAAAAATATATAATTTAACAGTTATAGAATTTAATATATTTCCTTTTTTTGCAATGCAGTGTCAGAGTTTTTGTTTGCTTGTTAATAAAAAATTTCGAAATTACCTTAAATTCATGTGTTTTCAAGTTTGTTGAAAAAAATGAGAAACTTTGGATTCTGAATTATAATTAAAGTTCTATAATTTAATAAAGTAGACACAGTGTTCCTGAACCATTTAAAGGATGCTATAACCTCTCTCTAACATATCTCTGCATCCGCGTATTTACATACCGTAAAACTACGTCACGGCGTCACTGCTCCATGGCTCTGGTTACGTCCTCACGTAACAGTTTGTAAATGACCCTTATCAGTCGCCGTAATTTCTTCTGGAGGCTTGTTGCTATGGAAACGACAACGCAACAACGCGGACCCATGTCTGTTCCTGGTGTTCGCGGTATGTTCTTTCTTCTTCGTCTTCATTTTTGAGGCAAATAAAAAGTAGTTGAAGAGTTTGCTCCGCGTGTCGGTAAGGTGAGGTTGTGTTTTTTTAGCCACCAACCAATTCGTGTTACTGACCGTAAAATGTGTGTCTTAAACGGGAAAGAGCTACGTTACCATTCCCCGTGTTTCCTTCTGTGTCGAGGACTAAGCGTCTTCTTCCTTTACAGCCATGTTAGCGGAGACTCGGGGTCCTGACCCGCTGGTGTCTGCCGCTCCACGGGAGGCCTCCGTCACTGGCAACGATATCAAAGTAAAGTTTGGCATCATTGTTTTTTTCCTGTTTGAGATCTGTGAGAATAACCCTGTGCTGTGCTCACATTTAGGAAACTGTGTTTGTTTAGTTTTGTTTACTTTATGTCAATAATGTAAACAGTATACAAAAAATAATCCAGTAAAAAAAACAAAACAGTACAATATCACAAAGTTATCAGTGTTTATTTATCCAGCTTCCCTATTGATTTAAACCTCAATAACAGCAGTGAACACATTTCTAACTACACATAATATGTATGCTACATAAGATACAAATTAATCCCGTATTATCTTGTTTTCACAACTCCATAATTGTGCTCCACACAGCAAAGCAAGTAGCAACTAAAAAACTGAAACACTGACTAAAATTCAACATCTTCCTCTCCTATCTGATGAAGATCATATCTTTATACTTCTTTTTGACTAAATTTATGTTTGTTGCAAAAGCCCTTAAATTATGACCTCCTTTTCTCAAAAAACAAACAAACAAAAATATGAATAGTTGCTGGTAATTTTGTTTTTCTCTGGGAATTTGTGCTGAATTTCACTGATCTGTAAATTTCAGTATTTCAAGCTGTACGAATAGTGAAATGGTCCTTATGGCCTGCAATGTGAAAGATCCAAACTGCTTTTTGTTTTTGAAGAATAAAAAGTGAGTGTAATGTACTTGTGTAGTTATTGTCCCAGACCTTTGAACAATAGCTTAAATAAGGTGAACATAGAGTGATGTGAAATCTAAGGCCTGCTCTGCTTTGTTTAGTGCTGCTTGTTGACACTGAAGGATGAATATATTTAACGTGTCCTTTCTAACTATCTATAATGTCTTTTTCTGTATCAACACCATCTATCTGGATCTTTATATTTGTATTTAATCCATTTAATCCATAAAGTTTATTCACATTTAATCATAATTTGCTCTTATCAAGCCAAATCTTTAATTGAAATATACTGTGTGCAAAAAATGTTCACTGAATGACTTCATCCATTCCTATTGGTCAATGTCAAGTTTGTACAAAAATTTATCATTTTGAAGATATAGTTGCCTTTTCTCAAAGAGACATTGCTGTACGACTGTTTCAGGTCCACTATAAATGTTAAAGATTGTTTTGAATTTGGAATAAATGTTTTGTTTTTTGTGGTTTTCCAAAACTCACATCTCCTGTAACACCAAACCTGCCAGGATCCAGGGATTCCCCACAGGCAGAGGGTTGGGAAGTGTCAGCGACGAGCACCAAGCCAAAGAAACTGCTTCTTTGGAGTGGAAACGAGACCAGAGCTGGCCTGGGAGGACTGGGACCTGGGCAGAGAATTTACCAAGACATTAGTGTTAAAGAACGTCCACAACAAGCTAAAGAAGCTACACATAAGGTGTTTAATCTGCTCTGTGCAAAGCTAAGCTTTGTTTTATCCCTGCAGATAACACGTCCCTCTCTTCCCTTCACAGGCCTCCTGTGT